TTTGCCATGGATCCCCCTCCGGCATGCCACAGTCCAGGTGTTAGTCCCCTTGAAACAACTTTTCCATCACTATTGTGGCCAGAAAGAGTCCCTGTGTGTTTTAAAATTTGCCTGCCCATTGAAGTCTATGGCGGTTCGCCCGGTTCGCCGATTCGCGAACATTTGCGGAAGTTCGCGTTCGGCGTTCGCAACATCACTAATATTGAGGTGTTCTTTGGCAGTAACCCCTAAAGTTCTCAGTACATGTATTCTTAAATTGCCATGTGGGTAAAAAAAAAATCTACATTTTTAAAACAAAAATTGGTATAGATTGGTGGTAAAATGGTTGCATAAAAAGAGTCAAAATGCCCTACATTTAATACCTTAGGTTGTCTTTTTTAAAAAAAAAAAATATATACATGTGAAGGGTTATTCAAGGATTCCTGACAGATATCAGTGTTCCAATATAACTTTAGTTAATTTTGAAACAATAAAAATTTGTTGGAAATAGCAAAGTGCTGCTAGTACTTATTGCCCTTTAACTTGAAAAAAAAGCTAAGAACATGTTAACGTTGGGTATTTCTAAAATCAGGACAACATTTAGAAACTATTTAACATGGATGTTTTTTTTGGCGGTTGAAGATGCGTAACAGATTTTGGGGGTCAAAGTTAGAAAAAGTGTGATTTTTTTTACATTTTGTCATCATATATTATCTTTTTTTTATAGTAAATTATATGATATGATGAAAATAATGGTATCTTTAGAAAGACCATTTATTGGCGAGAAAAATAGTATATAATATGTGTGGATATAGTAGTAAACGAGTAAGAGAAAAATTACAGCTAAACACAAATGTAAAAACAGCCCTGGTCCTTAACGGTATGAAAATTTAAAAACTTTCTGGTCACTAAGGGGTTAAAAGAGGTACTCACAGAGAGGGAGCAAAATATGTGTTTACTCAATCCCAAAGGCATAGGTAGTATAATCCCCCTCCCCCCCCCCCAAAGATATTGCTGAAGGATAAAATCTAAAATCTTTCAGGAGGGTGCAGAGCATATAAAAGGTATATTACTTTTATTAGAAATTAAAACATAAAAGGTCAAATACACTAACACGTTTAGCTATATAGCAGGATTTAGCAAAGTGTTTACGGACATCTGAACCACATCTGTTTATATTTTGCTGTTTATATAGCAAAATTATAAAAAAAGGTTGTATGGTGCCACATGTGACCATGAAATTAATTGTCAAATGAAATGTTAATAATTTAATATAAATGACTCACATAATTAAAACATTTTTATGCATGTGATACATTTATGAAACAAAATGAGTCATAATTGTAAATTAATATTAATATTAAAAATAGGGTGGGTCCCCTTAAGGGGAGTACCAATATGGCCGTTTCCTGTTAACATCATGAGATGGGCGGGGAGATAGCTATATATATATATATATATATATATATATATATATATATATATATAAAAAATGTCTTTTAACCTTGGTATAGTAAAGAGATCTCTTCTCCCTCATAGATTATTTTAAAGGGATTGGACAATATTTTGAAATATGGTTTTATTATAACTTTTATCTACAGTATTAAATGTGATTGACCGTTGTTCAACCTCACAGGATAAAAGACTCTTGATGTCAGCACCCCAAGGCAAGACACTGCTAACCTTTGAGGGATCAAGTCTCTCTTTCTATTAGTACTTCACTAGATCCACACTACAGTGGCAAAGATCCCTGAATCCTGTAACTAGCCATCTGAGAGCAGCAAGGGTAGAAAATCACTGGAGATATCCAAGGATCCTGGTGGTCACACACAATGGAACTGTACACAAAATATCTTCACTTGCCGAATCACCTAACTTCTTCAGGACTCTGGGCTTACGTGCCCCCACAAACGCCACTGAGCAGCGATCCAGCACACACAACTGGGACCAGTCTGTTTCAACTACATCTAAAGATCGCTGGAATTCGCAACCAGAGACCTGACTACACCTTTATCTATCTGCGGCTTAAACTCTTATGTTTAGTTTAGATTATTTTTGGATATGATTCACAACCATTTTTTTTGTTTCACTCCCTTACGGAGTCTATATGCCTGTAAAACTGAAACAGGGGTGTTAGTTAATGAAGACCAGGAAAAAAGCAGGAATTTTAAATCACTATTTCTCCTCCGTATATATTAAGGAAGAACCCATGGCAACAGATGTGCAAATGATTACTACTAAAAACTTGCAGAATAATTGTAATTGGTTAACTAAAGACAAGGTGCTGCAGCAACTAAAGAAAGTTAATATAAACAAAGCTCCAGGGCCTGACGGTATTCATCCACGAGTACTTAAGGAACTAAGTGTAGAAATAAGTGAACCTCTGTTTTTAATCTTTCAAGATTCTTTTCTTTCAGGAAGTGTTCTGGAGGATTTGAGGAAAGCAGATGTGGTTCCTATATTCAAAAAGGGTTCAAAATCCTTGCCTGGAAATTATAGACCTGTGAGCTTAACTTCTGTGGCTGGGAAAATATTTGAAAGGTTATTAAGGGATAATATTCAAGAATTCCTTGAGAAGAACATGGTTATCAGCAAAAATCAGCACAGGTTTATGAAGCACAGGTCATGTCAAACTAACTTGATTGCGTTCTACAAAGAAGTAAGATCAGGGTGTTGAAGTGGATGTGATCTGTTTGGATTTAGCCAAGGCATTTGATACAGTTCCACACAATAGATTAGTGTTCAAACTCAAGGAAATCGGTCTAGATGAAAATGCTTGTTCTTGGGTAGAACATTGGCTTAAAAACAGAGTACAAAGAATTGTCATTAATGGTAAATTTTCAAGCTGGACAGAGGTGGCAAGTGGTGTCCCTCAGGGGTCTGTTCTAATAATTTATAAACATGTTCTATTTAACATGTTTATAAATGATCTTGAAGACAGCATTGAAAGTCATGTTTCAGTGTTTGCAGATGACACAAAACTCTAAAATAATACAATGTGAGCAAGATATTACTTTGCTGCAGAGGGATTTAGATAAACTGGGGGACTGGGCACTCAAATGGCAGATGAAATTTAATGTTGAAAAATGCAAAGTTATGCACTTCGGCGTAAAGAATACACAAGCAACATATACCATTAATGGAAGTGAATTAGGGATAACAACACACGAAAAGGACTTGGGAATTGATATAGACAACAAACTATGCAACAATGTGCAATGTCAATCAGCAGTGGCAAAGGCCAGTAAGTATTGTCATGCATGAAAAAGGGCATTCATTCTCGGGACGAGAATATAATTTTGCCTCTTTATAAATCACTGGTAAGATCACTTATTGAATATGCTGTGCAATTTTGGGCACCTGTTCTAAAGAAGGATATTATGGCACTAGAAAAAGTGCAGAGGAGGGCTACAAAATTAATAAAAGGAATGGAACATATCAGCTATGAAGAAAGGTTAACAAATTTAAACCTATTTAGTTTAGAAAAACATCACCTGAGAAGGGATATGATAACATTATACAAATATATTATACAAATATATTCGGGCCAATACAAACCATTGTGTGGAAATCTATTCACAAACCAAACTTTACATAGGACACGAGGCCATGTGTTTAGACTGGAAGAAAGAAGATTTAATCTAAGGCAAAGGAAATGTTTTTTTTACTGTAAGAACAATAAGGATAAGGAATTCTCTGCCTGGGGAAGTGGTTTTATCAGAGTCCATACAGATGTTCAAACAGCTACTAGATGCATACTTGCAAAAACAGAATATTCAAGGATATAATCTTTCAATGTAGGGTAATTAGCTTGTTGCAAAAATGTGCTTCAAACTGGGTTTTTTGCCTTCTTTTGGATCAACAGCAAAAAACAAATGTGTGGAAGGCTATGTAAGGGTTTCCTTAATCAAATCAAATATCACTTTGAGGCCTCTTATGGCTCCTTCCCAACATATAGGTCAAGGATTGGCTTATGAACCAGCTAACGGGTAAGGCTTTAACTTGGGCCAACCCTTTATTGGAGAGTGGCAATTCCATTGCCCATAATTAAAGTGAGTTCTTAAATGAATTCAAAGCAACCTTTGAGCCAATGGGAAGAGAGAAGAACGCAGCCAAAGCCTTGATGAGAATTAAGCGAAGCAGTTGTTCCATTGCTGACTACGCTATAGGATTTAAGATGTTAGCCTTTGAAGTGGACTGGACTAACAGTGGCCTGGTTGCTGCCTTTTCAGAGGGCTTAGCTGAGAATATACAAGATGAGACCACTGAAAGAGACCTCCCAGTCAGTCTTAACAAATTTATATCTTATACGATTGACATTGATAATAGATTGAGAGATAGAGAGAGAAACAAGCAACGGACAAGACGTGCTAACCTATCGATTGCCCCTAATTTTTCCACCCAGTGTTACATAGTTCTGCATGCTGAACCTCACTAGCAGCCATGACACCATTTTTTTTTTTTTTTTAATTCTTTATTTTTGTTGTGCAGTGTATACAAGCAGTCTAATCATGCCACAACAGCAATGACAAGAATAACAAAAAGCATATCTTACAGGTGATAAGGCAGTTGGAGAGAACATGCACACATTTTTTAATTAGAGTGACAGGCTAGTAAACATGCTAAAGAAACAAATCTAGATCGGGCTTGTTAATGCAGTCTTGTAACATAGTAAAAACCTCTAGACAGTAAATAGATGCTGAGAGTACCAGGAAAGCTATTTAGGGCATAATATAACAGTAGGCATTAATATGTACTTAGTGGGTGTGTTGCAGGTAAGTATGGGTATAAAACCACAGCAACTTCACTTTATGGGATTTTATAAGATTTCCTGGCCTACCCAGGTTGCCACATGTAATCTGTTTAAGGCTTAAAGGACCCAATTTGGTGATGCAAGTGGAGCATATGTAACGTCCTGCACATAACAGAATTAACTGTGAGCTATGCTACATAGGTAAAGGCTGGGCTGGGGGAATTATATCTGCAGCGTTCTCAACATGCCTGGTCCGCTTGAGTGCTGTTCAGCCGATTACCCGGCTGGGCTCCTGTCCTTCAGGCATGTGCAGTCCAGGGTGAGCCCATGCGTGGGTGATGTGAGAGGACTCTGGTAGGGAACCTCCTTGGGCCCGGGTAGATCGCGGAGCCATCATCTCTGTGCCGCAAACTCTGTATTTAATTGAGTCCAGCCTCTTCCCATCCTGGGAAATGCGGAAGATCCTGTCAGCTTTGCGTGGTGATTTCCGTCTTCTCCGCCGGCGTGGTTGGTGCCTGGCGGTTGGAACCCGGGTGGCTCCAGGCCCAGGTAGGCGTAATGCAGAGTTAACTGCTATCTTGTGTGTCAAGTTGCCTATGGAGTGCTCCGCAGGCCTCACCCCACGCAGCTTCCATTCCCCTGTCAGTGGGACGCGACTAGCGGTCTCCAGCCTCGTCCGTTCCTCCAGGGTAGTCCAGAATCGATTGAATATCTCCTCCAGTTTGTCCACGTTGCTGTGGGACCGATTAGCTTCATGAAGTACTTTGTCTTGTGGTGCTGGGTTACATGCGTCCGCCATTTTGTAAGCCGCCGCACGCCACTATCTTTAGTGCCTCTGGGTAGGCGTTTGTGGCTCGGTTGGCCCTGGTGTTTAGCTCAGCAGGGACCGGGATAACCCCCGCCGGTCTATAGGGGGGGGGGAAAGCAGGAGCCCAACCACTTCTGCTTGTTTGATAGGCAGGAGATCGGCCGCGTCTCCCGCCCAAAATCAGAAAGTAGGCCAAAGGAAGCTTTAGCGCCTGTATGGTGCTTACAAACATCAAGTTTTCTCTCCAAGAGTGGTCCCTGTGTTCTCGGTCAATGGGTGCCGATATGGGCTCTGATTGAGAGGAATATCACCCTATTTGAGGCATATAAGTTTAGTAAGATTGAGGAGCTCTCTCAACCTGCGTCTGGCTCGTTCAGTGGTTAGGCCCCGCCCCCCATGACACCATTTTTATACTGCAACCAAACTCAGTGAAGTGCTCTCAAAAATCAATTGATCGATATGGGATATGATCGTATTCAGTACAACAAGCATGTGAAAAGATAGGTAACAAACCGAGAGATCATCTGTTAGAATCTAAAACTAGATCCCAGTTAAATATAAAGGAGGATAAAGAGATTACTTTAATTTTTTTTTTTTTGTTCCAATACTTCTCAGCAACGCAAAATTATCCAAAGAAATTGGTATATTTTAGAAGACGACCAGGATATTCAAAGTTTCCTGGGTTATAAACCCAAAATAATTTTTAGGGGGGCTAACAATTTTAGGTTTATTTGAACTATTAGTCTTTTAGGAAAAAGGCATTGAAAGTATTAAAATTAATTGGAGAGGAGGAGATATTTATAGCATCCTAAGCAAGTCAGAGATGAGGTGGATTTTTAATATGGACACTTTATTACCCCACGGTCTTAATGCTGGTTTCAAAATAAATTCCTGTATATGATATATGCTTTTTTATTGTATGATGTTTATTAATGCAAGTTTAGATTTTTCTATTTTTAAACAGGTTTTTATATTTCTAACATTTTTATTTTATATAGAGCCTGTTTTTATATTTTAATCAGAATGCTTTTACTGTTCTTTTAAATCTTTTTGAGTCTCCACTTGTATGTGCTAAAGCTGACAAAGTTGTGTTTAATATTATATATTTTGGAGGTATTTGTATACCATATATTTTGGATGTTTATATAATTAGGAATGTATTTTATAGACGCCAATAAAATGGCACTAGGTAACCTTACCATGAAGACTTTTGGTAAACAAGTTTATAGGTCTGAAGTAAAGATTTAAAGGAAGAGTTATGGAGGAAGATGGAAGCAATTCACTCTTGAGAAAGGCAATAGCCGAAACACGTTGAGTGACCAGTGGACTTTTGTATGTTATTAGAGGTTGATTTTTTTTACTTTTATCTTGTCCAATAAATCATTTTTACTTTACCTATTTCCTGTATCCTAGAGTATATATGGTGTAAGTTTGATACAGACAAGATTGATATAGAAGAATCTAGACCCATTAACATCCACTGCATCCTCCATTTCAAGCTACTAGTCTGAGCCAGCTTTGTTTTAGTGTCTCAGAATCATGTGATTTGGACCAGTAGAGTGTATACATATATTATTGTGTTTACTATATTACCCTATGGTCTTTCTCCTATTTATATTTTACATTCTACAACATCTGTATACCTGTTGTATTTATTTATTTATTGTGTGCTCTCACTATTTTTACTTCTATATATTATAAAGTTTATTGACAACTTTTTTAAATGAAGTCACTACTCCCCTTCCACAAATTAAAAAGTATATATAATCTTGATGGAAATATGTTTATACAACACCAATACATTATTACTAAATTAAAAGAAACCTTTAATATCTCTTCTTTAAACCAACCAAATGATACCTTACATCCTTCCAATTTTGAAATTTTATATCTAAAAAATTCAGAACAGAAACACACAATATTCTCTTGCTACTGTTACATGTCTTTATTACATAACAAGAAAATGCAATATATGATTCCATGGGAAGCAGACATGGGAATGGAATTCAATTTGTCTGATTTGCACAAAAGTAAAGAAGCGGTAAAAGGAATAACTTCATGTTCAAACCATATTGAAAACCACTTAAAGGTAAATTGTCGTTGGTACATGGTACCTACTAAACTCAAAAATAAGTTCGCAGATGCTTCAGACTCATGCTGGAGAGAATGCGGAAAAATAGGAGATATGTGCCACATATGGTGGCAATGTACCAAATGTAAGCCCTTTTGGGATTTTATTTTAACCTTAGTCCAAATTATTGCCCCTACTATTAAAACTCTTTCACCAAAAATTGGGTTATTTACATTTCTCCCCAATTTCTTAAATAAAATAGAAAAGATCATCATTTCACACATTTTAATTTCAGTCACCACACTATTGCCACAACATTAGAAAACCTCACAGATGCCATTAAAATCTGAAATTATAGCATTTATCAGTGAAATTAAAGTTATGAACTCGCAATCAGACTACCATCCCTAATACATACAAAAGTAAGTGCACTTTGGGATAATTGGGAACGCACAGCAAACAAAAAAGGTTGAAAACAAACAAAAAAAGGTTGAATACAAAGAATTTATTATATCTTATCAGTTCCACATTTTCTTTTCTTATATAATTTCTTTCATTGCTAATATTTTGATTTGATCAAATTAACAGGATATAAACCCTTTGAAGTTGTTATGAAATATATCATACCTACCTATGAGCTATCAAAAGGTATTATTGTAGGAATATTACCACAGCTAATTATAAATATTCACATATCCCAATGTAAACAAGGGTAACTCTCCTTCTAGCCCCCCTACCACCCCAATTCCTGATCGTCTTTTCCCTTGTACTAATGTTTCATAAATATTTTTTTCTTTATCTTCCCATAAAAGGTTCATTGCTATGCATAAACAAAGTGATATTATAATGTTGTAATTATATTATTACTATTGTACATATGTGTACATTTTCACAAGTCTAAAAATCCTTTGTAATAATGATAATGTAATGCATACGTTGTTATAAAATATAAAACTTTCCAATAAAAAATATTTGAAACAACATCTAAATAATCCATCACACACAGGATACAGGCCACTATTTGTTTTTTTTAACTGCAGCTTGGACATTGCTCTAAACATTATACAAGCCCGACATTTATTTCCCTCAGCACACAAATGCTTGACCCATCCTATCTATAGTGAAGGTCAGACTTAAAGGCCATGAAGGAGCCCTGACTAATGGACCAAGCAGTTAGGTAATAGTGATTTCATCATGGAAGCCTGTGTGGGAGTTGTTGTGTCTCTATGTGGATGGAGAACATGGTTTAAGTCTCCGCATATCAGCAGCGAGTTAGTCTGCTGTGTGGAAATTTTGTTTAACACTTTGTGTAGAAAATTCCATTGGTTGACATTAGGACCATATAAGCCTGCTAAAATGTGGCATTGATAGTAAAAGACAGGTAAGTGCTGTGCCACACGTAATAGTATAAAATAAAGATAAAGTAAAATATAATAAAAAATAATATAAAATAAATACTGTCTTATTCTAGATGTGCAAATTATCACATATAAAATTTTCTCTTATTCAGCAGGTAGGTTCAACTGTGGTTCCTAGGTTCTTTATACTTGGGGGGTCTTGTTGTCTTTAGTCTCCGTATGTGGGTGAGAAAGACACAAAATAAGATAATTTAAAAATGGTGTCAAAATCATAGTGCACCAATCAAAGTTTAGAATAATAGTAATAACATAAAATGAATAAATAAACATTTGTACTTCAAGGTATGAGTTTAAGAAGTATTAGGTGATAATTTAGATAAAAAAACAAGGGTGTTAAAGTGTATAATTTGGAAGGGGAAGGTGGTCGTGTGATTTGCAGCACTTTGCAGCATGGGAATGTAGTTCACGGCATTTGTTAGGGGCTTATGATGACTGATCATTGTGTCATCATTGTGGGCATGTGCGGCCGCCGTCATCATTGTGGGCGTGTACGCACTAGGCGAGGGGCACCCCTCGCCTAGTGCGTACCATCAAATAGTCCACTCACTCTCATCTCTGTTTATTCTCCCACTCCATTTCTTAAGCGCGACTCACGACACGCGACTCACGACCCGCCCCTCACTAAGTGCTTACCACCCACTAGTTCGGCGGCCGCACACGCCCACAATGATGACACAATGATCAGCCATCATAAGCCCCTAACAAATGCCGAGAACTACATTTTCCATGTGACAAAGTGCCGCAAATCGCAAAGTCTCCTCATATCAGCAGCGAGTTTGTCTGCTGTGTGGGAATTTTGTTTAACACTTTGTGTAGAAAATTCCATTGGTTAACATTAGGACCACATATGCCTATTAAAGTGTATGTGGCATTGTTTATTCTATAGTGAAGGAAAAGACAAGTAAGGGCTTCACCACATGTAATAATATAAAATAAAGATAAAGTAAAATATAAAATAAAATAAAATAAATACTGTGAGTCTTATTCCAGATGTGCAAATTGTCACAAATAAAATTGTCTCTTATTCAGGAGGTAGGTTCAACTGTGGTTCCTAGGTTCTTTCTACTTGGGGGGTCTTGTTGTCTTTAGTCTCCGTATGTGAGTGAGAAAGAGACAAAATAACCTAATAGTGCAGTAAGTCAGGGCTAAATAAGCCTGTTATTAATAATAATAGTATTGCACTCATATTTGAAAGGAGCTATAACCAGCTCTACTATGGATCACCTATAGTGGTATAATCCCCATTTATGGGATATGGTAGTGGTAGGTCTCGACTGGTAGTTGTCTAGATGCTCGGAGGGAAGAGAAGAATAGACACTAATAGTGCTCTCATAATTGTGTTGAATATAAAAATTGTACTTACAAACGTAGAGCAGGCTCACTGCTCTATGGTTACAGCGTTGTTGGTATAATCTAGGATTTGCTTGGGAGTAGTAGCAGATGAAGTAAAAAACGGGAGATAAATAATAATAAGTAATAAAATATATTATTATTAAAAAGCC